GAAATATGAAACTACTCCTGTTTATTATTATCATACTGACTGAATAAAATGTAGCTTTAAAAATTCGTCACAGTCTCATTCTGTGTGACATAGTGTTACGATTAGCACCATGACAGAATTTTCGATCGATTTGTTATAACGCAGCATCCAGGTCTACAAATTCCAAGGCCTAATTCAGGTAGACGCAGCTCTGTGGGGTGTTCTTTCTATAATTCGTTTAATTTACGGCCATATAGTATACATTATAAGAGACTGTTCATGTTTCTTATAGACAAACGTTTTCACATGATAAGAAGTCGACAGGGGTGCTCCAAACGATACTGTAAGCGGCTTTCAACTGAAGGGTTTGGTTAATTTAATTGATATCTGTTTCTATATCAGGGCTGCCTACCTGCGCATGCATATACGATTTATGATCAGGAATAATCCTAGCATTTTGATTAGATATCGCAGGTTGGAAGATGTTAATATGTGACTGAAGGGAAGAATGACAGACGATTTAGTTTATTCTGTAGTCGATTATCGATGATTAAGCATTGAAGTAGATGGTAATACGAGGTCTGTAAATTAAGCGATGAGACTGCTTTTTTTAATTCTTTCATCCAAATATCATTACAATTTTATATTGTTGCCCTCAAAATAACTTTCTTCTGAAGCCACACAGCGCTGGAGACGGTTCTTCCACTCCTCATAGTAGTGCTAGGACCCCGAAACTGGAATATATGTTTTCGACTGTCCCAAAATGAGTTCTCTTGAGGTGAGCTTTCAACTCCGGGGAGAGAGAAAAATCATGAGGATCTAGTCAGGCGTTTACTAACATTGCTGTGCGTGAAGGACCATTATCGTGATACAACACCTTGATCTCATGAACAGTGATGCTAGTCAAATTTAACTCTTCCTCGCTCATTCTGTCAACCGACGATCTGGATGCACAAGATCCCAGATCCTGTCGATACTTTCACCGGATCTTGAAGATTAAGGTCTCCTACTTCGTGGTTCATCTTCATTCGAGTCTCTCCCTTAAACCAGCGAAAAACCTGGGCTCTTGACAACATCTACGTAGACCTGCTGAAGTTTAGCAAGAGTTTCCGTTGCACTTTGCCTGGGTCTGAAGCAAAACCTGATAGTACATCGGCGCTCAAAATTGATGTAGCTCATTTTTAAAATACGATAGATGAATCTGTTTCATAGAAAAATCGCTACGGATAACCAAATGAGTCGGATCATATACTGTATCCCCTGTCTCCTCACCAACCCCGCCTCTAGTCTTGCCACATCGAACGCTGCGTTGTCAGTTCCACAACTTAATGTTGTTGATTGTTCCTTCAGGGAAAGTAAAACATTCCGCATGCAGCAAATACACTGGTCAAAAGGAATGACACGGACACCTCCGTTGAAGAAAATTAGTCATTTGTATTCGAAGCGCTCAAAGAATTAGTTTGTCTCTCGAGCAATATGTTACAACTCTAATATTTACCTAGGGGATGAGACGTTTGCTCATCCTCAACTCTTCTCTTTTCTTATATCATACCACAATATCAAGCCAGTTTCGCTACTGGGATATGTTTGCCCCCACGATACGCATACACTGGAGATATTGCGCATGTGGGCGGAGCTTCGTGACGTCACCCGGAGAGTTATCGGCGCGTGGTTACCAGCGGCAGGATTGTCGTAACGTTACTGCAGTTCACGTGTATCGAGGTTAATACTATATAGTGGTGGTTTTATGACTTGTTGTATTAGGTATACATACCTTATATACCCTGTGTGGTTGATAAATTGATGAAAATGCTGTGTGCTGTTGTGGGATGCAATTTCGACAATCAATCTAAACGGACTCTTTGCAAAGACATGAAGTTTCACAGTTTTCCTCAAGACCCAAACTTTAGCAAAAAAATGGCTACCTATTCTGGTGTTGTAGTGCATGTTAACTGTGCTGTTTTGAATAAAACTGGTCCTATGTTTAAATGCGAAGAGAGCGCATTTATATATATATATATATATATATATATATATATATATATTGTAACGCTTCCTTTCCGCAAAAAGTCCAGAAAAGATGAAATGCAATGACGATTCCAACTTTTCTGCACAATCACAGAAAGGGGGTTACAATTAGCTTCCGGTAGCTCAGTCGGTGGCATGAAGACATCTACAGGCGTGTAGCTGTGTGTCGACCATGGCATGGCTAGAGGATAGAAGAACAAACAGAACACAAAAATTTAACAGATTTTATTTAACAAAAAAAAGGCATTTTCATTACATTACAATTTTACAAAAATAACAAAATAAGTTTTACATCTTTGGCGCGGCTATAACGCTATCGACTTATCTTTCGCTGGTCCATTTTTACTCGACTGAAGCCAGGATGGCCAGGGGCTTGAAGGGGAGGTCCCAGTTATGAGGGGTGACCTCCATATAGTGGCTTCACAACCAGTTGTAGGCGAAGTTAAAGGCGATGGCGCTGCCAAGGCACATGCATGGGTGAAAATATTGGCCAAGGCTAGGCAAAGTGAAAGAGAAAGGGGGTGGCCCCAATCTGAAAAAGAACCGTGTGCATTAGCAACGTGCCCTAATGGCCAAGGCATTTCCAATCTCAGTCTGCCTCAAAAGAGAACCAACGATTTTCTAGATTAGAATTACATTATATAGTTTGATGAAATCAAACCGAAAATTGGAAATGCCTTTCATAAAATAAAATCATGAAATAGCAAAAAAAAAGCGTAGAACAAGATGGTGGTCATCAAAAATTTCTCCACATGCTTCTGATATAAAAACATAATCATCGAATATTCATAATCAACGTACTTATAATTTCACTGAACTATGAATATATATACGCGCACAGAGGTAAAATCGATGTGGATCGATTTCCACCTCGATTTGATTAAAGTTATGGCGAATGATCGAAGTAGTCGAAAATGACGTTCGATGGATATTTTAAAATCGTACAAGAAATAAATCACTTACATATCGATTATCTATAAACTACAGGCTGATCCAGAAATAAAACTGTATAGTATTATAAAACTCACCATTTTTGTCCTATACGGACACACATTCTAGAAATCTAGCACATGGTGCTATATAACCTTGTGCTACTGAGAAGAAATTTCTAGCCGTTGTTCGATCGGCGGCTCAGGTGAAAAAGAAGCGCGAGGAAGATCGCAGATCAGGAACTCCGCATCAAGCGCTCCAAGCGGAAAATTTTCCAAGCAAAAAAGCTAGAGATGGGATTAATGAAATGATAATCGAGAAGTGATTTAATAAATACGATCGGACGGTGAAACCGTTACAATATATATAGATGGATATTAATGTTAGCAGATTATATGTCCTGAAAATATATTTACAAGAGTCTCTTTTGTCGATGTCGAAAATCAGCCTGAGTACTCTTTTCTGCAAGATGAAGACTGTTGTTCATGACTGCTTATCCTCATAGTATTATATTATTGCTAAGATGCGGGTAAACCAAGGCGTAGTAGATATCTATAAGAGCTGTTTGGGAAATGTTTTGTTTGAGTTTCAAGATTGCAAAGTATGCACTATTGAGTTTCTTAATGACATGATTCACATGTGACTGCCAGTCCAACTTCCCATCAATATGAGTTCCTAAAGGTGGGTCCAGACATGCAACAAAATGCCGTGTAATAACACCGTCCCGCAACAACTATGTGTTACGCGTCTAAGTCACGGTGTGTACTTTTTTTCATACCATCGCGTATCTTCAAAGCAAAAATTCTGTCGTTCCGTTTTTCCTAGTGCGTTTATAATAGAAGTCGCCGCTGCTGCCTATATATTCATGCATTATTATGTTAAGAAGAATCAAAAAAAGCGAAGAGAAAAACGTTTTTGGCAGAGGCAGTTGTTCGTAAAATGAAATGTGTACAGTGGAAGTAATTTGCTCATAGACTTGAAAATGAAAATTTCACCAGAATGTCCGCAACAGACTTTGAATATTTGATTAATTTGATTGGACCCAAAATTTTACGAAAAGATACCAGCTGGAGAAAGGCAATTTCTGTACAAGACAGATTGGCAGTTACGCTTCGATTTTTGGCGACTGGTGATTCCTTCACAAGTCTTCAGTACCTCTTTAAAATATCTAAGCAATCTATAAGCACTATAGTTCCTGAAGTGTGTGAAGCAATAATAGAAGGATTACATGACAATATACAGGCAAAAAAAATAAAGGTTTGACACAATAACTCTATATTTTAAACAAAATATTGCTTACATTAAATAAACTGTTGCTCACATTAAACATTTGCACTAACTACAAGCTCTGTAGTTCAATGTGGGACATATCCAATAACTCGTGTGGCAAAGAAGGAGGGAGAGGAGTATTATTGTCACTCGAGGTCGAGGGATTTGAATTACCATAACTATATGTTGGAGATGACAACTGTGATGGTCTTGATTAAAACAGGATTCTTGGTTAGCCTGATAATTCGAAAAAAATGAGTGAATAGTGTCAGTACGTTGTGGTGGGGATTGGAAATTGCTTGAATTTTGGCGAATATGGATGCTGTCAGCTTTAAATAAAATATTCATAATCGCTTGTTGTGTATTGGTCTGCAATTCAGGCGAATATTTAGCCAATTTTTTAGCCACAAGATTTCCAAATATCTGACATTCGTTGTGTCCTTCTGGGTTATTGGCGTTTGCTGATGCTTTTGACAGTATCTGAAAAGCTCTATCTAATTTATCAGAATCTTCACTTTTTCTTTGCTGTTTTCTAATTGGTGTTACATCCGTCAATTTTCTTTTCGGTCTATTATGTATAACCTCCTGAGTCTCCTTCACAACGTCGTTATCTGTCAATGTCGATTCACCATCAGATACCTCATTATCATCTGTTTCTTCGTCTTTAATCTGTAATTAAATAGTAGTCCTAGTCATTTACAAGAATATTCACATTGCGATAGAAAATAAAGATATCAGTTATTTGTGGTCATATCGCGTAATTTCTCATGACACAATTTGTTCTAATTGTTCAGATACCGACAACACCAGAATCATGGCTGGACGTGGCAAAGCAATTTGAAAAAACCTGGAATTTTCCGCATTGCCTTGGAGCTTTAGATGGAAAGCATGTGGTTATTCAAGCACCATGCAACACTGGAAGCGAATTTTTCAACTACAAATCTACGTTCAGCGTTGTTCTTTTCGCCTTAGTGGATGCTAATTATAATTTTTTGTACGTCAATGCTGGTGGCCAAGGGCGAATTTCAGATGGTGGCATCTTTAAAGATTGTTCACTTTACAAAAAACTAGTGAAAAATCAGTTGAATTTTCCTGAACCAGAAACTTTGAAAGGCATGCAACGGAAAATTCCTTATTTTTTCATCGGAGACGAGGCATTTGCATTCACTGATTCGCTAATGAAACCGTTTTCGGGAACGCATCTCAAAGGATCCATACAAAGAATATTCAACTATAGATTATCTCGTGCTCGAAGAACTGTAGAAAATGTGTTTGGTATTGCTTCGGCCGTTTTTCGAGTACTCCGTAAACCCATGTTACTTGAACCCGCAAAAGCTGAAATAATTGTAATGGCAATAGCTCATCTACATAACTTCTTGAGAAAAAGCTCTACATCTTCTACTTTGTATATGCCACATGACATGTTCGATACCAAATCACCTTTACCAAGAGCAACAAATGAAACAATGTCTTCTCTATTGCCACTTAAAAATATTCCCCGAAAACCAACTGATAACGCGAAAATAATCAGAGACGAATTGGCACTATACTTTCAAAATGAAGATCCACTTGTGTATCAAGATAATTATGCGTAACACAATACTTACGGTACTTTTTGTCTGTCGAACTTTATTTTTGTCCCAAAGAAACAACAAGCTTTTGAAAGCAAACCAACTACTTTCATACACATCAGAACGACCTGCAATGAATATAATATGTTCGATATGTTAATAAGTAAATAAAAAATATAATGTAATTATTCACATTTACCTGTTCCTGTGCCTTTGCTTTTTTTAATTTTTGCTTTTTCTCGCCTAAGTGCCGACAATAACACATTCATTTTCTTTTTGCATTCATCTATCGTGGTTTTAAATTCTACAGCGAGCTCATTCCAAGAATCGTTTTTCTTTATTTTATCATAATACTGGGAATTTTGTGGATCCCACAAAATTTCTTTGCTTCTATAACTGTTAATGAATTTAATCGTTACTTCTTCAGTCCACTCCATAATAAACCTGTCAGTATTACTCAAAACACAGAAACAAAGTAGATCGCACCTTTGTTACGCAGACCAGTCCAAACCTGCAATCCAGTGGTGCAACATCAGCGCGTATCATTCCTTTGATGCGACACCAAAATACCGACATCTCGTGGGACGCCTCGATGTTACTATGTTGCGGGGTTACGTTGATACGCTCCAACGTCTACACTTGTTACGCAGTGCTGTTACGATACGGTGTTTTGTTGCATGTCTGGACCCACCTTAAGAATTCGGTTCCGTCTGAGAAGATATCGTTGTGCAACCGTGGTTTGCTATTGTAGAAATGTGTATACATTGTTTTATCAGCGTTTAGTATAAGGCGGTTTGATACACACCAGTCGATCATTTCTGTTTCAACTCGCTCAATTGCTTGAAGCAGGTCAACTGGTGTTGCGGCACTAACTACCACTGACGTATCATCAGCGTAGTTGACCATATGGCCAGATAGTTTTAGGTCGTTCATAAACAAAATGAACAGGAGTGGCGCTAGTACCGAGCCCTGGGCTGCACCAATGCTTATGTCATACACCCCCGACGAAGAACCAGTCACTCTAGTTTTAAGCTATCTGTTTGATAGAAAAGAAACAAGCCAGCGTAAAAGAAAGTCCCTAATACCGAGGTTATACAGCATCTGCTCGACGAAGTTTATGCCTATTATATCAAATGCCTTCGAAAGATCGAAAAACAAGCCTGCAACATATTTATTAGAATCAATATCCTCGTAAACTTTGTTAAAAAAGTCAAATGACGCTGTTTCTATGGATCGTGAAGACCGGAACCCATGTTGACTGTCTGATATGATATTATACTTATTTAAAAAGCTAACGATTCGTCTAAGCAGGCACTTTTCTATAATTTTTGATAGAATAGATAACAGAGATATTGGTCTGTAGTTCTCTATATCAGTCGGATCTCATTTCTTAAATATAGGAATTACAATGGCAAGTTTGAGACACTTTGGAAATTTACCTTTCAGCACTGACTTATTTATAAGCTGTGAAAATGGAGTTGATATCTCACATTTTATAGTTTTCACCACTCGCGTTGATATGTCATCACATATCTCACAAAAAGATAAGACAAAGTCAACGTAAAAAGCACTAGGGTTTGCTAGAAAATGCTCTAGAGGATCTGAAACGACGCTTCAGCGTCCAATACCTGTCATATATGTTGGGGCGAAACGAAGGCGCATACTCAGAGTATCTATTGCAGCGTAGAGCCAGAGCATACTCGAAACATTCCACTAACCACTAACCGCATCATTAACGAGAATAAACTGAATGCACCTGAAGTATCAGCTGACTATACCGAGCAAGTTTTAGTGGAAGAAATAGATGACCTCGAGTATGACGGGCTGGAAAATTTGGCCGGCTTTGTTTGCAATAAATTGCAGGATCAGAGGTTGAAAAGTTCCTCAAATGAAACTTATTCATGGACAGACCATCTTAGTGGGGTGGATTATCAAAACCTTCCGTAACTTTGGGGAAGGAATAGGGACAAAAAAGCAAAATTTTATAGATGAACTTCTGTTGAAGAGCAGCAACAATGACTTCCCGGAAAAAGTTAAAAAACTGTTTTTCAGGTCAAAGATGTTCTTCCGTATCAAAGAACTGAATAAAAGTTTGAAAGACCAGAAAAATCGTAAAAGGAGATGGAAAAAAAATTGTTGTCATTTCCATTTATTGCAAAAAGAAGATAGCTCCAGTTTTGTACTTTTCGAGTTGCGTACATTTCCACACTTACATGTACTTAGGATGTTCTGTGGAATAAGGATAAATGTAGTACAGTATTACCACATGAACATGTTAATCCTGCTGCACAGAACATACTAAAATATAGGTAATGTAGAAAAATGGAGTTATCTTGTTTTTACAGTGAAGAGACGACACGCTCTATTGTGGAGCTAGAAGCCTTTTGAGCTATAGCCTGTGAAATAGGAATTACAGGGTTGACATCTTTTAATAAAATCCACCGTTTTGTTTTTATAAAATTTCAATGCAGCTAAGACGAATCGAACGACACCTCATATATGAAAGTCCGTCCAGCCATTTGGCCTGTAGGTGAAAATACGCACGTTATCCATATCAACCCAAATGATAATCACTCTCCGCGTGACGTCATGCGCGCCGGCGGACGAAAATCGAACAGCGGAGCATACAGCCCTGGTTTGCCCCTAACAGTATTTTTGTGCTTATAAGGGATTGTGGAGGAAAGGTGACAAGCCACATACGAGTAGCTTTGACAATAGTGGTACTGCCAATCTATACTTTGACAGTACGAAACTACAGTCCTCTGACAATATAATGGTAGGCGCTACAGCGACTGGTAACGTGTCACGCTTGTTTTTTTTCGCACATCACACTACCGAGTTTAACAATGGACCAATCTGATGGTTGCTATAAAGCGCGAAACGCCGTTTTATCCGGTTGGTTATGTTTGCGGAGACGGAAAGCAGACATCCTATTCAGCCTGCGTCGATTATGGAAAGAGTGCCTTGATTCAACTGTTGACACTGGCAGTGTCACTTCGTTTGCCTTTTTTTAATGAATTTCTGTTTTATAATAGACTGATAGCTCATAGTTCATAGTTCGCTCAGCGAGTAGTTGATACATAAACGCCAGAACTGTGAAGTGCCAGCATCGCACAAACCGCACCTTCGTCAGCAAGATACTGTTGTCTGGCACCAAAATAACCGGCTTACAAGGCGTGGCGTGTCTTTCAATAAGGTAGAATCTGCAGGCCCCGAGTTTTCCCATGCAAAAGAACGCTGTACGAGCAGTTTCATACGCTGGCTTATGCTTCCCTCATCGGCAGGGTTATTACGTAATAAACGTACATAATGTCAAAAGAAAAAAAAATGTCGCTGGCTTATGCTACCCTCATCGGCAGGGTTATTACGTAAAAAACGTACATAATGTCAAAAAAAAACATAAAATGTCGACTTGTTGACTAGGTAGCTGCTAGTATGCAAATAACTCATTCCGCGCCTGCTACAAGTGAGCATGGAGTAAACGACGTCTAGTTTCAAGTTGACATATTGTAAGAAAACCTATAAAATGTCATAAGAAGCCAACATAATGTTAAAAAAAAACGACAAGTTGCATAATATCCCTGCGATTCTGGTATCCGAGTATACCTGTATGCCTCCCTAACACGTTGTCGTGTAATGGGCACTGTGGTTAGAGGACCTGCAGCATATTTGGAATACAGGTTTGTTTTTTGAGAATAAGTTGCAAGATAGACGGGATAGCAAAATAAAGAATGCATTAAATTGTTGGGAAATTATTGAATTTTAACGATATAAACGATCAAACAAAACAAAAACCAGGAACCACATCAAAATATTATCAAAATAAAAAACTCAAAAAGCGCAAGTTTACTTAGGGTGTAGGTAATATGGAATATAGTATTCCACCTTTTTTTGCAATTGTTTACACTTTTCCTAAGAAACTAATACATTTCTCAACTGTGTAACCATTTTACAGTCTTTGATAACTAATCTGTTTAACAAAATAGCTTATAATTAAGTAATCAGTCACAATAATCGCAAATCAGTATTTGTCCTGAACTTATAGTGTAGTGTTCTAATTTACTGTTCTTACAATAATCACAGATCTACACACCGGATTCATAACCACTACAAGCAGCGTGAACCCACAATTCACATTGAGCACTGTACCTTTTCTAAATTAACAACATGACATCCTAACTTAAAATTTCATGTCACAATCTTAATTCTAAATAAGTCAAGGGCACATAATACTCGTACTTCAAATAGTTGCAATGAACATTTTACGTGTCATAGTAAATGAGATTATCAATTATTGTATTCTTACCGAAAAAGTCTTCAAAGTAGATGTCTCGTTCCCGTTTCGGTGGTAGCAGGAAATGTCAAGATGATGTCCTGTTTTCAGCACCTGTGGTTCTGTGTGATCTACGACATTATATTCACGGCAAAAAATACAAATAGCGTTTACATTGACTCAGATAACTAAGCATTCCAAGCTACCTGCAGTATTCTAAATATGATGCACTTCCTCTACATGCAAAGAGTATTGTCGAGCCAGATACAAGTCTGGTGTGATTCTAGTATGATACGGTATAATGGGGAATTGAGTCATCTAGAAGTAGACTAGTAGCGAACCATTCTCTGGGTCACTCGGCCGTTATAACTATCTGAGAACTCAGTAGTTTGGCACAGTTGCCTGCATATAAAACACATGCCAA